GACATACACTATAGTTCCAGCCCAGACTTCAAGAATTGTCCATTAGATTAATGGTCTATAAGTAAGAAAGATTTTGAGGTTACTCTTCACATATCCAATTGCAAGTAAATATATTAGAACTTGTTGTTTCCAAGGAACCAGCTCACATTCACTTAAGCAAAAAGGAAAATTGTAAAATGAAATACAGATAGCTCATAGAACCTATGATCAAAATTTCAGCCCTCATTCAGGAAGGTACTAGAACAAGCACTCAGAATTCTCTCACATGTTTCTCTCTCTCTGGATATCCACTTCATTTCTATCCCTCTCTGAATACCTATTTTCTCTGTTTCCCTGGACTGCACAGTGAAATATATCTAGCTTTTAGCTTTTTAGCCTCTTCATGGTTTCTGCTGTATCTGGAAAGTAAATTGTTCTCAGTACATTTTCTAACTTCAACCCAGGCTGAATCTCACTTCCAGTTGAGCCAGAGAAGAAGATACAACCTAACAAGATGCCAAGGAAAGAATAAAAATGGGGCAGGGAGGGCTTTTGACCTGGACTAATCTCAATTTTCATATTATAATTCTAATACAGGTGTCTAGATTTAGCCAAACAAAACCCCAAAAAGGAAAGTGAATAGGCAAGCGAAAGATATGTATTTGGCCTCGTTTGGTATTTCTAAAGTTTCTTACACTTTGATCAAACCATTGTTGAATTCCTGCTTCAGGTTGAAGGGCATCTTGATCACTTGGAAGCCCAGATGAACAAGATTACTGGTTTCACCCTCTGAACAAACCATTTTCCCAACATCAAGTATATGTTATGAAATTGTGACTCTCTCATAAAACCATCCTCAGGAGAGCAAAATAGTATTATCATCTCTTCTCAAGCAGCCGATTTTTATTCTTATAGACCCCTGTAGGTATGAGTTAAAGCTTCCTTCTTTTAAGAAACGCTACATATAAGAAAGAGATGACTGTGAAAATGCCTTTTTATAAATCCTCTGTCTATGCCTGCTATGGGGATTATTTAAACATGAAGAAATGTCATGATGATTTGAAATCAGCTACCCCCTCCATCTCCAAGTGCTTCTGGATCACCTCCCCAGCTGTTTGAAAAGTTGTAGAACCATTAACTGCTGCTGAGGCTGCTCTAAGCTCCCTTTGAAATGGGGGTCCCCCAGCAGCAGTGCATAATATTAATGAGCAATAAGTGACTGCCTGCTGCTTCTACCGCCAGGCCCCCCTGGGCTCTGACAAGTGCTGCTGCTGCCTCCACAGAGCCTACTGGTCCATCGTGCCTCCAGAATGATGGATGCTCCAGTCAGCACTTCTTTCTCTACAGCAGGTTGGATGGCTTTAAATCAGCCTCTTCCAAGAGCACAGAGGTTGGGGAGGTGCTTTCCCTGTCTTAGTGCTCTTAGCTCAAGTGCTCCCAGTGCTTTTAAGCAAATAGCATTTCTCATCATTTAGCCCATTTTACAGATGAGCAACCAGGATAGGATCCAAAACTTACAAGAGGGAAAAACCTGGTCCTCAACCAAATGTTTCTTAAACCCCATTTTTGGGCAGGAAAGAAAATGAGTCAACATTCAATTTCCCATGCCATCCTTTCTCTAAAGGAACAGAATAGTTCAAGGATTATAGTAACTAGTATTCTACTTTATTAAGTGAGCAATTGACTGTAATTGCTACCAGAAAATGAAAATCAATATAATGTTGCTTTTTCATTTCTATTCAGTTAATGGCTGTTTTTGCCATGTATTAACACATGCTATGCAGACTTGATTTTTGGTGACTGGTTAAGGACTAAGCTGGCTTTTGCCCTCCATGTCATTTGGATGAACAAGGGTGGCCTTGAATATTTTTCCCCTTTGAAGGAAGAATAACGTGGGAATTGGAAGCATACCACCTAATTCTTACATGGCCACTCTGTGCTAGGCAATACTATAGACAGTTTGATTGAAACACTTGCCCCTCATAATAACTCTCGAAGGCAAAGATGGTTAAAATTGCCACCTGTCAAGTAAAAAACTGAGAGCTTAAGTGACTTGCCTAAGATCATATAGTCATAAATGCAAGGTCCACATTTGTTAAGATGAAGCTAAACCTCCCTGTGTGTTAATTGTATGTTATATGGCATCCAGGGGTTTTGTTATTTGTCCCTCACCAAACTAACAGAACTAGCAAATGAAGAACTTACCCTCTCTGTCCATGGCAACTTCCATGTCACCCTCTTGAAAGAGAACTAACTTTATATTCAACTCCCAAAGCTGTTTCAAATACAATAAAGAATTTATTTTTCAGTTTTGAAAACCAATTGGAAATAGAACATTTGAACCTAAAGCAGTGTTTCTCTAAGTTTGCTCCCTGGACTCCCTACATCAGTATCTGCAGGGCATATATTCCAAAGATGGAGTCTGAACTCACCTGGACTTAATGAACCAGAATCCCAAGGAAGAAATAGCAACCGCTCAGGTTAACAGTTATTAGAGAGTTCATCTTAAAGTTTCAGGAGTTCATACATCATCAGCTGAATTGCAGATACCTTTCAAAGTCCCTCTGCATTCAATGGCTATTTCAGAGAAAATTATAATGGAAAAGTAGTGTTGGCATCTCCTTCCGTGTGAACCAGTTGGTTAAGAGAGTTTAAATAATTTCCCACAGGGCTCTAGTTAAGTGGACACTTGTACATTCTTTACCTAAGAAAGCAAAGAAAAGGAGTATTCTGAGCTGGAGGCTCAAAGTCAATCTTTCAGAATGTGATGTTCATCCTTTTTTTCCCTTGCTTCGAAACTCTTCCAAAGCCACTGCTGTAGATATGAGGCATTGCATAATCGGGTGAGGCCTACTCTTCCAGCTATATCCTTGAACACAGTCACTCACTGCTCCTGCTACAATGAACTTCCGATACACCACGCACTGTACCCGATGCATTGATGATGGGGTACATCACAGAGACGCTGCCCAGTATCTAGTTAGCGCTCATTCCTCAGAGTGCTGCTGAAATGGTACCTTCTAAGGGCAAGACCTGCCAGAAGCAGCCAGGATGTCTCTCCTGCAATCAGGCACAGGGCAGATTCACTGTCAGCAGATGGAAAGGGGTGTCCTGGAGCCCTCTGGATTTTCCACTGCCCCTTTAACCATCACCTCTACACAGGTGTGAGCATTTGTACTTGCGCATGCCCTGTGCTCCTGGGCCCAGGTGTCAATAAGCATAAGCAGCATGCCCTGTGCCCAGCCCCTCAGCCCAGGCATCCACACTGGGATGAGAGGATGGGAAAAGCCTGATAACTTCTGTACTCTACAATGCCCTAACCTTCCTTGCACTGCCCTTTCTTGTTACCCACCACAGTTTTCCAGCCTGCTTTGCACTGTGTGGTAACTATTTGCATCTGTCTTCCCATAGAGATGATAAGCAAGGGCCACACTGTTTCTGTGCATTGGGAGTCTTAACAGAGTGCCTGCTACAAGTTTAAGTATTGATAACTAATAATGTGGGAGAGGAAGTCCTGATTCTCACTTTAAAGTTCACACTGATTCTATAGATAAATATCCCACATTTTTCATCTCTAGTACCAACATTTAATGGCAGTGAAAATGGGTAGGTTGAAAAGTCTGAACCTCAAACTTCTTTGTGTTCTCCATCCCTTTAATGAATATGTCAACAGCGCTAATCCTGATGCTATTTTTAAATCACTCCTAGTGTGGTTATATAGTCATTAGTTGCTAAAAGGGAAGTTAATGAAAGAGTGGAAATTCTGATTTTGAAAAGCCACAAAGTAACTAATTATCTATTTCCTCTTTTACTTCAAAGGCTGAAATGAATTCTTACTCTTTAATAGAATAGGAAGCACAGTGAATGAACCTCATTGGTGATTAGTCGGGTTTTATTTAATATTACCACTTTAAGTACATCTTTGCTTAGCCACATGAACCATCAAGCCTATTTTAGTAAGTGTTCCCTATATGAGAATATAGTTTATTCCCATAGTAATTGATCACAACGGCTTTTGTTTTTAACTATTTTTGACAGTAAATGACAGATTCTAGGTGTGGCTAAATTATGTTAAAAACCACAATTGTTCATTTCCGAACACCTAAATAGCATTAGTAAGGTGTGGCTATTTTGTTATTAAAAAACATATCAAAATCTACAATTACAAGTAGATATTTTCCCAAAAGTGTAACGGGCCACTGACCTGCCAAGTCTCTCGGATTCATTGTTTCATACTATGATTTAAGGTGGAAAGGGCTAGCAAGGCAAGGGGCTTGGGAGCGGGACCCCAAAGCAAGGCAGGTGATTACACAGTACACCTCATACAGTCCGTTGTGCCTTCCTCTTCCTGTCACCTGCCAAAAGGAAACGTCTAATAGTCACATCAAAAAACCTGTGGGATATAATGGATAATAATAATGTTAGCTCACGATTGAGTTCACTCCTACAGTGCTCATTAAGAGCACTTGCAGCTTGCACGAGAAGCTATTTAAGTAATCGCATCGAGACATAGTGAATAGTCTTTCCTCTGTGCTCATTAACACTTTTAAAAGAATTACCGCTTCACCATATAACAATCCTATGAATAGGCACTATTACTAAGCCCATTTTACAAATGAGAAAATTGAGACCTACAGTATGACACAGCCTCTGAGTTCTTGTGGCACCACGATCCCCACTCAGCCAGCCAGCCTCATAGCACCCACTCGTAAAGATTGAGCTAAACCTTCTCCTATGGTTACTTTATTTTAAAACAGTGAATCTGGCCACTTGGTTCTGCTCGTTTTCCTCCTCTTTTTTTTTCCCTTTAGAGGATGGAGAGAGGGGAGGTGTTTTGTCTGGTTTTGCTCTAAATGCCTATTCTCTCTCTTAAGGAGAAAATGACAGTGAGCCTTCTTTCTTTCTGAACCTCTTTTTTCCAAAGCCATTTCTCTTCATCTGTGGCCAGGAAAGACTGCTTCAGAGGACAGAGCACTAACGAGCTTCCTCTTTGTCTCCTTCCCTGTCTCTCCATTCTGCAGTTAATAGCCAAGATACCAACCATCACGGCAGTTTGCAACTTGCACGGGGAGAAGCTGCAGGTATTTAAGCAATCACATCCAGACATAGTGAATACACTCTTTCCTCCGTTATACAAGGAGCTCTTTAATCCTGACTGTTCCACCGTCTGCAAATGAAGGCGACAAGAGAACTGTCTCTTAGTCATGGATGCATCACCATTGTGACAAAAGCAATGTGTTCATGAAGACTTAAGAAAAATGTCACTACTGCAACATTAGGAATGTCCTGCACTTAATAGAATTATTTTTCACCGCTACAGTTTGAAGAATGTAAATATGCACCTGAGTGGGGCTCTTTTAATTGTTTGTTTGTTTTTGAAATGACCATAAATATACCAATATAGGACACTGGGTGTTATCTTTTTTTTTTTTTTATTTTATTTGGGTATGTTTTGGGAGACAATTGTTCATAGAATTTTATTGTAGATATATACAAGAACAGAGCGGTACTTTACATGATTACTTTTCCTGTTGATTGTTCAAATATAATTTAAGAAAATTCCACTTAATAGGCTTACCTATTTCTATGTTTTTAGGTAGTTGATGCATGTGTAAATGTATTGCTGTCTTGGAAAGCACTGGCCATGTATGTAATAAGTATATAATATCTGAGCATATTATATATGACTATTACTTATACATGCACGTGCTCTGTGGCTTAAAATACCATACCTACTAGCAATGGAGGTTCAGTCAGGCACTTATATTATTTACCTTCTGTGTTATATGTTACAGTTATGTTAGACAATCAGGATTTTGTTTCCCCAGCCAGAATTTTCATCTATAGTCAATGGCAGGATGGTACCAATTCAGAAGTAATTCTACAAAGGAATAAATATAGTGCATGGCCTCTGTATAAAAACTCTATTTCTATCAATGACATCAAAGCCTTGTCAAGATGGTACATATTGGAGTACAAATAAGTGTTGGGAGCCATTTTCCTGTTTGAAGAGTTAGACCACAGATAATATTGTGGTATTGTGGAGTCTAGGACTTTTTTTGACCAAAAAACAGACTTTCCCTGTTTTTCACCAGGACACATAAAATACTTTTTCTTCAGATTTTTATTTGTGGAAAAACTTAATTTTGGTGCTTATTCTGTCATCAACAGAGAAATACAGTCTGTAGACTGTGACCACCAGCATTTTTTTCTAACAAAATTAGAGTCAAAGAGCAAATCTGAACCCAGGGTCCCAGTGCCATTTCATATAAACTTTTTCTCTCGAACCTTTTTATTTGGGGGTGGGGGGGAGGGGGCAAAGAAGAGATAGAAGGAAAATATAGAAAACAAACATTTCTTTATATTCCTTCTCTTTAATAAGTTTGTTAGATAAAGAAGCAATAAAGGGGGGTGCAGGACTTAATTGTCCTTCCAGTCTGGGGCCTCTGTGCTTTTCAAGTCCAAAATGTTGTCTTATAAAAATATAGCAAAAACTCGGAAGACTAGGAAAAACGGTTATTCTATAGAACTAATATACCCCAAAGCCAAAACTATTTCCTATGCAGTTTATAATTGTAGCATCTGTCTAGCCTGGAATGATGTTCTAGCAGCTTTTCAAAGTATGGAATGTAAGAGGAAAGATCAGGACTGAAACATGCAGGCTTCCTAATCTCACTCTCCCTCTCCACCTGCTCTCCAGTCGAGGCCATGCTCAGAAAAGCCTTCATTCTGAGGGATTTGTTCCATCTGTCCTCTAAAGGCTTTGTGTCTTTAGTCTGATCTAATCCAAAGTGAGATTTTTTTTTTAAGGACAATAAAAATAATGACCTCTTATAAGTGTGGCCCTGCCACCAACTCATGAAGACCTGTCCTTTTCTCCTTGTCACACAACACACAAGCCTGTGCACACACGTACACCTGCTTTATGAAGTTTCTGTCAGTGGAAACTTAGACTTTGCCCATCTCTCCTGGTCTCCTGACCATGCATCACTGAGAGCCATCGCCATGATGCCACAAAACTTCTCATTAATGATCCAACAATAGTGATAGTCCTTTCTTGCAGAAAACAGTCTTTTCCCACCTCATGATTGATGAGTTCCAAATCAATGGGGAAAAACAAAAAGGTTTTAAAATAATGAATCTCTTTCTCAACTACTGTTATATTCAATTAATTTAACAACATTGAACCAAATTACCTTCAGTGTCTAAGAAGACAGCTGTAGACTGCTTATTATGCTGCTACAGGGACTCAATTCTTTTTGGTGTAAATGTCACTCCTGCTAGCTCTTTGTATAAAGAATTAATTCCAAGAGTCATATTTCCTTCTAATGGAAAGATTACTTTACTGATTGCTAGGAAAACAGGGTAATGGAAGGCACTCAATTAAACCAAGCCGTTTCCAAATGCAATGTATGTTTTATGATTGGCTTGTGATAGGCGATGCTTAATGTGTCTACTTGGTGTTTCCCTTTGAGCTTTGAACTTATGTCAAACTTTGTTTTCATTGTTCTGTTGGCCTAGTGTTTTCCATTGTCAGCCTGTAATTCCTGCTCAGTTGCAAAGGGAATCATTTGTTTCCTCCAATTTACCTTAGAGGATTTAAATTGGCTCAATTGATGAAGTGGCTTAGAATTTTTTTCCTCCCTCGTCCCCTGGGTGATGTAGGAAAAAGATTGTTCCCCACATTTGCCTCAGCAGGTACTGAATTTGAATTTGTGCCGTTTCCACTATTGCAAGCAGTTCATTGGAATAGCATGAAGCTTTTGAAGCTAGGGGACAGGAAACAGCTAGCAGCTGAACCAGAGCAAAATAGGAGAAAGCAGTACCTCCTCAAGCTCACATCACTGGAGAGCAGAGATTTCCATTTTTGCCCACACATGCCATATCTGTCCTTTAAAAGACCTTAATCCTATTTTCAAGGGCAACAAAACGTCTTTAAAAGCCGTACTTTGAACAGCTTAAGGTATTCTGAAACTTCGGTAAGCACAGCTTTCTTGGTCACATGCAATCTTTGTCCCTTCCCCATGGAGACTGGCAAATGTTCACAACACACCATGGTTAAGTGTGCACTGGCAGAAAGAACCCATGATCTGTACTTTTCACTTCATGCTTTGTAAATGACAATCACTGCTTGATGCAGATGTTGCACTGTATCCACTCAGGGATGTTTCATTTAAAAAAAAAAAAAAGTACATCAAGAAGGCAAGAGGAGAAAACAGGAAAATGACAACAAAATGTAAACGGCATAAATTAGATATGCAAATGAAGTGACCTCTCTGACAAGGCTTTCAGGACAGCAAGCAGTAACTTCATGTTGTAAACTGGATTTACTTTTACTATTTGGACTTGCTAAACTGCAAATATAGAATTAAGGATAACTTAGTCTCATTTTGCTAAGAGTCAAATGAACCAGTCGCTTCATTTATAGGAATATGTACCTCCCAGCAAACCCTCCTTACACTCTGAGGAAGGAACACACAGAAATCTAAGTGATGTTAGATGAAACGTGCAAGGGAGATGAAGTTGTATGAATTTAAACTCCAGTGTATCTATGATCTGTAAAAGGAAAGACAAAAATTGGTGGGAATATGGGAGAAAAGGGGTTTGCAAATCTGGCTTAAAAGCCTACTGTTCAGATCAGGGTGGTCTTTGTATCCCTTTCTCAGTGTTGTCATTTTTAATTCCCGAAAACTGAAAATTGATAGTGGAGGACATCTCCTTTTGGAATTTCCCTTTGAACACTGTCTTCAGGGCTCTGAACTAAAGAACCACTGAGCGGGCAAAAACAGAGGCAGTTTCTCTGAATCTCAGAGAACCTCAATCACAGTGAATTCTGGATATTAACAGAAGGTGTCAGAGAGACCTCTGTATATTTCTGTCATAGTTGCTTGTTCAGATACAAAACTTCATAGCAGTCAAGCTAAATTATTTGTGAAAACCAGGGGCGTGAATAGTCAACTCTCTCACACCAATACTCTAGAATCCCACATGAGCTAGGCTTTTAGGTAAAAACAATGTTTGTGTCCCAAGGACAAGCTAAAAATTCACCAGTTTAAAAAAAAAATCAGTCAGTTGCAAATGATGTCAGATTTGTTCCAGGTTCTTTGTTTCTGTTTATTAACACAAGGAAAATTTTTACTGTTACTGGAAAACAGAAGAAATAATTTTTCCTAACTTTTTTTTTCCCCTATAAACTTTGGATTCCCATGAAATCACTATAATTGTCAGTAAATTCAGTCAAGGATGTCTGAGCCCTTTCAGAACCACCACCCAACAGAACAGCAATAATTTTAGAGTGTGCATCTGTAGTGAAACTTTGCACAAAGTCTCCTGTATAAAGATGGAAAAGCCCCACCATCTGCTTTAGACAAAGTGCTAGTTGATGTTCTGTCTCCAATTCTTTGTACAAGCAGCAGCCTGATGTGGGAAACCATATGGGTTATTAACAAGAGTTGATGACTACTAGGGTTGGGGAGGCAGACTAGGGAGAGGTAGTCTCAGGACCATGGTACATGTTTATTTATAGCAAGGGTTGCCAAGTTAAAAGCCTACAAGGGCTAGAGTCAGTGTGCATGCGCGAAGCTGTCCAGTGGTGAGCTGGCAAGAACAGTGCCGTCTGAAAAGGGTCATCTACCAGTTAGCTGAAGTAGAAATGTTGTAAAGCTTCTGAGTGGTATCAAATCTCTCTAGTTATAAATTATGTCAATTGATTGAGAGTTTAGTACAGATTAAAAAAATGACATCTCTGGGTAGTTTGCAGTTTGCAACTCTGGTTTAAAGGAAAATCTGAAGGCCTGTTCAGAGGAAGCAAATCTTAGAAATGAATGATTAAGAAGGGGAGGGATGGGGAGGAGGTGGTGCTCTTGTCCTCAGTTTCCTTATTTGACTATATCAGAGTCTATCATGAGAGATGTCAGTTGTAAAAACCACAAAGTCCAAAAAGGAAAACAATTTGATTTAGTGATGACTCACAAAAGACATTTCAGTTGTCTTCCCAGATCTCCAAGCTTCATAAAGCCAAGTGGCTAGATTTATTGACGCTTTTTTTTTTTTCTGAAAATCAAAGGCTCAGTCTTTATGCTGTTGAGTTTCACTAGGTTTCTTTCAATGTTTGACTTCAATGGCTGAGCCAAGTTTTGTTTCCCCTGAGTTGTATCTGAAGAATTCACCCCGCAGTCACGATGATGTAGTCCTCCATTGTTCTGAAGTGCAGGACCATAGATTCCTATGCAGCAGGTGGGCTTGTCTGTTTGTGCACTTTTTTCCTACACTGCTGAAATTCCTCCGAAGTGAATTGGCCATAGTAATCTTTGTCTCCTGTCTGACCTCCAGGGGGTCAGACCAAAACAGCATAGTGGTTGTTCTCATGGCCAATAATAAAGCACAAGTTTACTGGAATTGAATAAACCCAGTTGAGGAAAGTGCAGGGGGCTGCCCCCCTCTCCCCAGCTGGGTGGCACAACCCCTATATTAGGCTGCACTCTTAGGGCAGAGCCTGAGGGAGAGAATTCACTGCCTCTGGCAGCACCTTACACAGAGACACACATTAGGTGCCTGTGCAAACCTACAGATCCCACATCCAAGCACAGAACCGTCTGCTTAACACATCCACGAGAACGAAAACCACACCCACAGAAAACTGAGTATGTATTGTAGAAATGTAGAGGAAAAATAAAAATATTTTTTCAAATGTAATTACTTTTAATATATGCTTGTGGAAGGTCTAATACAATGTATGCTGTCTCTTTAATTTTTGCTGTAAATAACTGGAGACAGTGAATATACTGATTTTTCTATGTCTCTGTTTAAGCATAAGACTTTGTAACAATTTTTTAGAGGGGGATAAACCAACAAAGAGCAATTATGTACTTGCTTCCTATCTGCGTGTTATGTACTTCTCAGAAACTGGTTGTAACAGTTTAAGCATCTTGACAGGTCATTGGTGTTAAGTGTATGCTTCCTTTTGTAATACAGCTGAGAAGGGACAGGACTGTCAATTAAATCTGCTCCAAATAATTTGCACTGAAGGTTGGTCGAAGACCTGCAAACTCTAACTAGACAGTGTGAGAAAGGAAAGTTTAAAAAAAAGTTGCCTGAATAAGTCATCTTTCTTGTAGTAAATGGCTTTGTCCAAATCCTTTCTGCATGGAATAGCTTAAGGAAAACAAACTCTGCTTTCTGATGAACAAGATATTTTTGTATACGTTTATTTCTTATTAATAACCTGAGGTCAGATCACTCATTTGCTGAAGCCATAACTGACCTTCACCAAATAAATGTTGTAAAGAACCTGGGGGATGTTTAGGGGGAGCCCGAGAGGGAAGAAAATCAAAAGTGTCCTGAGATGTTAACACACAGGCAGGGGGGAGCAAGTCCGATGAACCTGATGCTTTTCCTGCATCCCAAATATGACTTT